TCCAAATTCTCATCCTGTCTCTTTTCTGGGACCATAAGTCAGGCTGATCCACATTCGACAAAGTGTTTTGAGCCTTCGGGTTAAGAGGGTACTGTGGCCACAGTTAGATGTTTTAGGAACTGTTTCCTATCACAGCTAAACAAACATCCCATCCCAGGATCAGTTTTTGACTGGTTTGGTTCCCCAAACAGACTCAGCATCGTATCAGATGAGCATGAGAAAGCAGGACTGGGGCAGCCCCACCTAAAATTGATTCAGATGGCCACAGCATCACAGCCGTGGCGACTGTACAGTGTAAGCAGAGGCACTTCTCCCTCTCTTGCCCATACTTCCCTCATGCTGCCCTCCACGATGCCAGCTCAAGTATTCAAGCAGTGGCACAGCAAGCTCAACCAGAGGACTGATCCAGCCGAGAAAAACAATCCAATAATGACCAAAAAAAGTATTTTTTCAGCTCCTCAGTGCCTCGGTGGCACAGGGAGAGAAAAGGGCCCCTTCAGCCACCAGTACCACCAAGGGAAGCCTACATGCGAGTCTCCAAGTCTCAAGACAAAGCAGACCTCCAAAAGTCTGGGGCTGCAGCACAGCTCCTGTTGCAGCAGCCTGGTACCATGAAGCCTCACCAGAGTGGCTGGGGGACCTCATTTGGCCTCATCGAGTGGTCATTTACTCCTCTGAAAAAGGACAGCAAATCAAGAAAACTGGCATGTCCTGAGGCATCAACAGAGGGTTCACGGACACACACTGATCAACTGCTTTCTAATGTGTCCAGTTCACACAAAAGTGCAAAATGCATTTTGGAATCAGAAAACATTTGCTTCTCCCAGTGACATCCCAGTGCCTAACTATGTGCTTTACTTCTCTTAAATATTCCGGAAAAAGATTTACTCCCAGCTTAAAACTGTGCAGGAGGGGAGAGGATGGGCAGTAAAAATCAGGGTGTAGGATCTAGTCCCTCTCATGGTCAACCTAACCTTTAGAGAAGGACAAGGAGCATAGAAGTACATACCTTTAAACCACATCTCCTGCGGCTTGGATCTCATCTGAGCAGCGATATATATATGTAGGAGTCCATATACACATGCAGTGCTTTTGCTACAGTATCTTTGCTTTATCATTAGTTTGCTATCCAGTGTCTCACTGCACCTGAGGCTCCTTCTGGCCTCATACCTGGCAAATAAGGCAGAGTAACGGGCAGCGCTTTCATGGCCACAGAAAAAATACTGAACACATTAAAGGAAATGCAAGAGGTTCCATACGCTGCTGAAATACTTTCCCCTCTCATTTTGCAGGGGCTGTGACAGCCTTGCAGCACTGTAATTAGGAAATTCTTTTCACACTGGATGTTCTGCTTCTGCACAGCTCCGCTCACGCCTCACACCTGCACTGCAGATAAAAACGCTTACTCAGCACTTTACTTGCTGGATGAATGTTTTTCCTCTTCTGAGCTTAAACAAGGATTTAGCACGATCTACAGATGGCAGCTGCATTTCACAGAAAAGCATTAAATACATAGAACTGCTTACACACAGAGAGGAACGCTGTGGCTTACCTCAGAGGTCTGCAGGACTTAGAATTGCAAGGAAAGATACAAGCGCTTTGGAGAAGACTCCTGACGAGAAGAAGAACAAATCAGAGCATGATGAAATAGGGGCATTTCCCCCCTAGGGAGGAGCATACCTGTAGACAGCCTTGGAAGCAATACAAGAAACTTTTGCTTGATGTGGAAAGACCAGGGAAGAAAACAGAGTACTCTTACTTCAGTCCAGCAGATCATTTATACATGGGTTTAGCACGTAAGGAGTGCTAAGCTTCTCCTTGGTGGGAAGAAACACGCCAGGCTGGAACTTTGTTAGAGCAAATCCTCCACTGGGACTCCACCGCAGAAGCCAGCTCCGTGTCAGCACAGCAGAGAAATTAGCTCTGAACATTTAAGGATTTGCCTACATGAATAAATCTGTCTGCAGAGCTGCACATGTCTTACCTTTCACCCTCACCTCCCTTGGAGGCAACGGAAATTGATCAGGAGAGGATGATTCTCACTCAAATGAGAGATCTAAAGCAGCTTAACTGAACTGTGCCCTAAAATTGCCTGATCAAGCCAGCCTGGGGCAAATCTCCCACCTCGTCTGCAGGTGTCTAATCACAGGAATCTCACTACGACCTGCACCTGTGTGTCTCCCAGCAGATGCTTTATCTGGTGCCTAGATTTTCATTTCTCTTGGCCTGTGACAGCTTTCCCTGATTTGATGATAGGGGTGTTTACTCCCTGCCCCCCCACCAGCTGAATGCAGAGCAAACCCGCAGCCACAAGAATGAGGGGATGCAAGGCAGAGGGAAGCCTTTGGTGCACTCAGCCAGCACTCACCCCCTTCCAAGGTGGCTGGTCACCTATTTCCCTGCCTGACCTCCACAGTTACCACAGGCTAAATGGGACAGGAGCGGGCCACAGGCTGCTGGGATAGGAAGAGGCTGATTTTCCAGCCCCAACACAAGTCCAACCTCTGCGCATGGTCACCTCCTGAGAGTCCAGCCCATAGGAAGGCAAAAGGTTGGGACGGGCTGCAGAGCAGGGAGAACTGGGAAGAGCTGGGGAGAGCTGGGGACCAGCACAAGCCTGATGCTGCCTGAGCAGCGAGGGATGGGGGGGACAGGCATAGAGGAGAGCTGCCATACATCCCATAATGCTTTGTGCGAGCAGCAAGTGACAAATGTAGGGCAGAGGAGGTGGCTTGCGACCCCTCCCTGAGCTGATCCTGTGCCATGGATGTCAGGGTATGGGAGCTGAGCCGGGCTTAGCTGCCTCCTGGGATTTAGCGTCAGTGCGGCAGCACGGGCAGAAATTAGCAGGGCTGAGGGTTTTGTCTTTTGGCAGAGGCCAGAAGAACCGGAGCAGCTTTGGGAAGAAAAGTGATGACCAGCTCCTTCCCTCCCTGTCCCCCTGCCCCGTTTCTTCAAGGTGAAAATGAAGTTTTGGAATTTGGAAATAGAAATTTTTGATTTCTACAAATCTGTACAAAATTGGAGGCAGAGGAAACGCTAACTAAAGAAACCAATCTGTGTCATTAACGTCCTTGTTCTTCGGGCAGAGATGACACCCTGCCTGTGGTTCAAAAACACACATTTCCAACCGTAAAGGGCTCAGGGCCACCAGTGTGCCACCTGTGCTCCGATCGGCAACAGACGGCACGGTTAAGGAAAATCCTTCTCAGTGATGCCCAGCTTAGCTGTGCTCTGGTGAAAGTGTGGTGGGCACCAAAATTCCTACCCAAAGCAGAGCCCTTCATTCACCGCCCGGTATCCTCCCGAGCTCCGCAAACCCACCGCGCTTGCTCGGTAGCTCGAAAACCTCCAGAGCTGAATGAAGCCAAGATCACCGTGACCTTCCTCCTCCCCTTCCCCCGGGGGAGGGGGTTTGGAGGCCGCACAGCATCGCGCCAGCCCCTTCCCCTGAAGCCCCCGGGGCTCCTCCCGAACCCCGCTCTCCCGGCGGTGCTCCCGCACGCAGGGGTTCACCCGCCATCTAGCGGGGCTTCTCCCGCCCTGCGCCTCCCTCCGCACCAACCCCGCACCCCCTGCCCGCTGCGGGAGGGGGCACCGGCCGAGGGGGGGCTGCGGACCGGGGCGGGTGTGAGCGCCGGGGAAGCCCCGCACGGACAGAGAGTGCACCCACCGGGTGTGTGTGTGTGTGTCTGTGCACGGAGGGGGGGGTGCACTAGGGGGTGTGTGCGTGTGTGTGCCCCGTGTGTGCGTGTATGCACAGGGGTGTGTGTATGCCAAGGGTGGGTGTGCCTGAGCACGGAGGGGGTGTGCACTGAGAGCTGCCTGTGTGCCCAGGGGTGGGTGTGTGTGCGTGCATGCACAGGGATGTGCACAGGCGGGGAGGGTGTGCCCCGGGGTTGTGTGTGCATGCACACACAGGGGGTGTGCACTGGGGGGGCGTGTGCATGCCCCGTGTGTGCGTGTGCATGCACAGGGAGGTGTGTATGCCAAGGGTGGGTGTGCCTGAGCACGGAGGGGGTGTGCACTGGGGGCTGCGTGTGTGCCCAGGGGTGGGTGTGTGTGCATGCACGGGGATGTGCACAGGCGGGGAGGGTGTGTGTGCCCCGGGGTTGTGTGTACATGCACACTTAAGGGGTGTGCACCGGGGGCTGCCTGTGTGCCCTAGGGTGTGTGAGGGGTGTGTGTGCGTGTCCCCTCCCCGGGGTGGATGTGTGAATGCGCAGGGGGTGTGCACCAGCGTGTGTGTCCCGTGGGGGGGTGTCTGTGCGTGCACAGAGAGGGGGTGTGTGTGTCCAGGGGGAAT